TGAATAGATGGATCAATGATCAACATAAATGAATGAAAGGGAAGGAGCAATGCTTAAAAGATATAAAATTGTACAAGATAAAACTGCTTCTATTACAATGATTAGTCTATTAGCCAAAGGAAAGGGAGAACTGTAGCCCAAGATGGATACAGAATAAAATTTTAAGAATAAAGTTAGATGGTAAGAAATTCCCTTGAGAAAATCCCAGTAGGTAACTATATCCAAGTCTTGTTTGAATGATACTTGGAAATAAGGACTGGGTTGCGTGAACTTTAAGAAAATTAAGTGATGGCTGAATGTTCAGTCTTAAAAACTGACATGTGTATCATCACCAACAAGACCCAGGGGACGCCATAGAAAAAAAAAAGAAGCAACACTGATAGATTACAAGAGCTGTAGGATGGGGAGGGGTGCTGTAGAGGACCGTCTTCTACATATGATGTGGTCAATGAAAATCTGAACACACAACAGCTGTGACTACATGAAAAGGACCTGTGTACACACACACAAAAAAATAGGGCAAAAGAAGGGTGTGTTGCACACATCTTTGACTGGTAGAAGACGAGTCCATCACATGTAGGACAAGGTCTGGTGAAGAATCTGGAAAGAAGTCAGTCCGTGTTTTGGAATTATCACTCCTGCGGGCCATAAAGCGGTGGTGACTTTTTTCCTCCAGTGAGGCTTCAGGTGCTAACAGTTCTGCACCTCCCAAATCAACACCAGAAGCAGGGGAGGAGCCTGTGTAGATGCTTCACGCTCAAACCACAATACACACTAAAGTGTGATTTTATCTGGCCCCCCCACCCCCAAATAATGCTAGAGTCAGGTGTGCTTGATTTAATACTTCAAGGGAGGGACATTCTACCACCTCCCTAAAGAGCCCATTTGGTCATCAAAATATCTCTGAAGTAAAAGCTGTAACTCAATGTTTACAGGGTTAACAATAAGGTAGGCATTATCTCAGATGACATATGGGAAAAACAAAGAGACTGCATGAGATGAACTGGACTGAGCAGAATGTGAGAGACAGAATTGGTCACTGAGAGAGAAGCCTTATACGTACGTAGAAAGTTGAGCATATATGTATTTCTGTGTGTGATCAATTCCATATATATTCATATACTGTCCTTAAAAGATATTTTGGGCACTTGGGAGGCAGAAGCAGGTAGATCTCTGTGAGTTCAAGACCAGCCTGTTAACAGCTACATGAGGTAGTTCTAGGACAGCCTCCAAAGCCACAGAGAAACCCTGTCTCAAAAAAAAAGATATTTTGGGGTAACGAGAAAACTGGCACTAGGGAAATTCCCAGGAATCCACAAGGATGACCCCAACTAAGAATCTAAGCAATAGTGCAGACTGCCCTTCTCCTGTAAAGAGCCTGATGACTACGTTCATCCAGTAGCTGATGGAAGCAGAAGCAGAGACCTACAGCTAAGCACTGAGCTAAACTCCTGGAGTCCAGTTGTAGAGAGGGAAGAGTGATGAGTGATGAGTGATGGTCAAGACCAGGCTGGGGAAACCCACAGAAACAGCTGACCTGAGCAAGTGGAAGCTCATGGACCCCAGTCTGACAGCTGGAGAACCAGCATAAGACCAAACCAGGCCCCCTGAATGTGGTTGTCAGTTGGGGGGGGGTTGGGTATCTGTGGGGCCCCTGGCAGTGGAACCAGTATTTATTCCTAGTGCATGAGCTGGCTTTTAGGAGCACATTCCCTATGAAGGGATACTCTATCAGCCTAGATACAGGGAAGAGGGACTCAATCCTGTTCCAAATGATGTGACAAGGCTTTGATGATTCCCCATGGGAGGCCTCATCCTCCCTGAGGAGTGGATGGGGATGGGATGAGGGGCTATCGGGGGGAGTGGGAGTACAGGAAGGAGAAGGAACTGGAATTGGCATGTAAATAATATTGCTTTAAAATAAAAAATAATGAAAAGGATACTTTGAACCATAATTTGGCAGTGCTTAGAGCAAGTTATGATTAGGAATGTAGATCAGACTTGGACAAAGGGGTTACTATGTGATTCACTGTGTCACACTGCGGCATCCATGATGAAATTTTTAATTCCCCCCTTTTTCTATTCATTTTCTTCTCCTAAATTTTGTTTTATTGTTTTTTTGGAGGGTACAAGGGTGGAGGGCGGATGCAAAGGAACAGGGAAATGAATGGGATCAGGATGTATGATGTAAAAGACCCAGAATAAATAAAAAAGGGAAGGAATGGCCATTGGCGTGTTAGCTGGGGATTGTCAGGAAGCAGAGTGTGACGTACAGACTTATCTGGAGAGGCTGGAGAAATGGCTAGGGCTATGGAGAGAGACGCTCAAGGCTTCAGACCACAAGCTTCCTGCTCGGTTCCTTCCCAGCTCCCAGGTCTTGTCAGTCAGCTGACTTCAGTTGCCTCTCTGAAGGCCATGAAGTCCTGTGGCACATACTCACGTGCACACGGGTACATGAAAATTAAAGCAATCTTAAAATGTTTTCACTGGGAAACTTCCGGGGAAGGGGTGTGTGATCCCAGAGGCACGGGAGAGCAAGGGGGCCAGAGTCAGAGGGAAGGAGAGTGTGTGTGCATCCAAGCTGACCGCTGCTTCATGCAGCAAGAGCACGCGGGAAGCTGTGTGGAACACATATGCCTCCTCCATCTGGGCCGGAGGGTCGTGCAGCTTGCCAAACATACCCATGGCCTGTTCGCTAAAGGTTTCTAAGCGTTTCATCTCCTGCACATCTACGTTTCCGTTTCCATGGGACTCTTCAAGTCATGGGAGGAAAGCTGAAAGAGAGACCCAGGCTACAGCACTCTCGGTACAGCTTGCAGGAATCCAGGGGAGCAAGTTGTTTGTTCAGAGGCCTAAGGAGAGCCATAAGACCAAGAGGACCTGGAGTGGGACTTCCGAGGTGCGGACAGAAGTTTCCATAATGACAGATTTCTGGTTTTTCAACTTAGGTCTCTTTTCTGTGTTGTTATCAAGTCTTACAGAGAACTCTCATGCTTTCTTCACTTGTTTATTCTTGACTGTTTAATAAATTTATCCACTACACTAGGATTTCTACAGGGTGCTGTGGGTAGAACTTTAAATGTTATAAATCGCTTTGGTTCATTCATTAAGTTCACAGTTTTACCATCAAGGTGACCTCAACACCACAGGTACGTAGCAGATAATGTTACGAAGAAATAGATTTTTTTTCTGATATCAAAAAGCAGGACTTGCTCCCCCAAATCTAAACTGACCAGAGAGTGTCCCACTGAATACACTACTCCACTCCCTTGCAGAGAATCTTTTACCCCCAGGTAGTCACAACCCATTTCTACTCTGGTAGTGGAGACTGTTTACTTTACTACCTACATACTGCCTGAGGCAGGAGGTAGAGAGTTAGACAGATTTCTGTACTTACAGGCAAAGGGCCTCTGAGGCTTAAGAGCCTTTGGAAGGACTGCATTCCCAAGGCATCATGCTCCTCCAGTTACCTGGCCAGCTTCCCAGGAACAAGGTGGAAGATGGCCTATCCTGCTGCCAACATCCCTTCCCTGAGCATCCCAGGAGCCGACCAGACACCAGCTGACTCTACCCAAAGTGCTGGCTTTAGGCAGTAGCTCTCCTGGTCCTTCCACAGAATCACTGGAATGGGAAATGCTTGCTTCATTAAAACCTTTGATGCAATGTTAGCTGCCTTGGGTCAGTCACAAGGAATACACCACATCGGGAGCATATTTATATGGCAATAAACTTTTAATGCCTAAGAAAGTGCCTGAGTAAAAAAATAAAATTATGCAAATGACAGCATTTTGAAGACCAGGTAAGTTTTCTTCTGGCCTTTATAACAGTGAAGCCCTAGACACCATCGTGCCTCTGGCCTGGAATTAGTTGATGTATGGGGAGCTGTCAGTGTTCCTTAGTATTTCCATTAACCGCTCAAGGCAAGCGTCTAGAGCATGCAGAGTGCTTTATGGGGCGGTCAAGGCAGTGCAGAAGGCGAAGAAGGCTTTCAAGGGGAACTTCCCACCTACTAAGAGTGGAGGGCTTTTGAGAACACCAAGGCCACAGGCCTGGAAGCAGAAAACCAAGAAGGTAAATTCCGTGAACTCTTCAAAGGGCGTGACTGAGCACAAAGACTTCTAACTGCTACAGACCCTGCTCCCCAAAGAGAAACTCAGGGTCAAAACGAAGAGCGATTTTGCTCTACCCAGCAGCTCTGTAGGTCTGGTGCACCTCTGTAGGTGGCAGTGCTCAGTCCCAGAGTCCTGGAGATGCTGCCTGGGAGAGGGCAATTTAGACACCTCCTTAGGGTGAGCACCTGCTTTCCACAAATGGGAGCGGGCTCGCAGGCGCAGGCACGGAGCAAAGACTGCCGTGCTAGCTCTATTGCAGAGCTGGGTAATGGGGTGTGGTGGCCGTATTCGCCAGGAATCCTTGGACTGGTGAGGGTGACACAGAAGTTATAGGAACCAAAGAGCCACCAGTTGGCGTTGCAAATCACCTAGCTCCCCGGAGATCACTCACTCAATCCCATTCTGAATGTCTCCCCATCCCACAGTGTTTCAGATGGGGTGGAGTAATGAGTCATGTCTTTAGTCGGATTCCCTCCCACACAAAGGTGATCCCGGGGATCCGAACTGCGTGGGAAAGCAATGCGAGTCCAGCGAAGGCCTTAGGAGGTACAACGTTTGATAGTTTGGCCCACTGCGCTTCCAACTAGCCTGAGGAGCGTTATCGTGCCTCAGTTTCCTCATCTGTTCCAGAGAAATCTCTAATGCACTCTAGGCAGCGGGATGCAGCGCCAGGCAGATTGAATGCAGTGCGTGCGCGCGCGCTCTGAAAGCGGCAGGGAGCTCTCCTGGCTACTGCCTCTGCACCGCACTTTGGTGCGTTCTTCCAGCCCAGCTAGGGGTGGAGGAAGCCTCGGCTCTAAAATTAGTCCAGCGTCCAGGCGAGGCGCCCAGAGCCTCCTGCTGCCGGCCGCCGCGTCTCTCCGGCCCCCTCCCGCGCCTCTCGTCTTCGCGTGGCGCTCGGAGATCACTGGTCGTCCCCCACGAGGACGCAGCTCTGCGGGGAGGGAGGAGGAGACAGCGAAGCTGGGGGCTTGGCAGTGCGGCGGCGGCAGCGATGGGGAACCCGGAGCAGCTCCTCGACTACCAGTAGCGGAGTAAGACTGTCGAGAGCAGAGACGAGAACCGCTCCTCCCGGCAGGCTGCGCTGTGATCTGGGCTGCGCGTTGGGACCTCGCTCCCGGTCCCCCTCCTCCCGCCGCCATCCTCCTCTGACTCCCCTCCTCCGCCCCGCCAACCCGCAGCGGTGGCGGCGTCCTGAGCGCCAAGCCCCGAGCGCCTCCGCTCGCCGCCCCAGCCTGAGCCGGGAGCACGCGGCGAGCACTGCGGCTGAGGCAGCTGGGTGGCCAGCTCGCCCTAGGCCGGAGAGGAAGACCACGGAGGACGCTTGTGGTGCAGGGGAGCATCGCCGGCCGAGGCAAGGGTGCGTGAGGATTTTTAACGTGCTTATTTGGATGCATGGTGCACCGACTGGAGCGCACCTTCTCAGAACAGCCTCAGCTACCAGGTTACAGAGAGGTTGTGATGGGGGTTCCGGGAAGCTAGAGACATCAGAAAGCGTGGGGGAAACTTTTCACCTTGTAAAGTTCCTGCCTGGGTGCTGCCGGGAGCTGTGGTCATTACCGCTACCAGCTAGAAGCCAGAGAGGCTCAGCCCTGCGGCAGGAGCCAGGAGATGGGTACCCGAGTTGGCTAAGTTTAGAGCTAGGGATAGGAGAGAGGGCTTGAGGGAGTGCACGCTTGTAAGCCGCTCTGGGTCCTTCCTGAGCTGTGGCGGCTGGGAGCAGGTGGATTTGATCGGGCGGCGAGTCCGGTAGCCGGCGCTTGCAGCATTCAGTAGGAAGGCGCAGATGCCAATGGATGCACTTGCAAGACCCAGAGGCGCAAGTTGGGTGCTTGCTAGAAGAGGCTACTCGCAGAGCAGAGAACCCAGCCTCCACTTCCACGGTGCAGGAACGGTAGCCTAGATGTTCTCCGGTCCTCTCCCCACGTCTGAGTCTTGTGAAAGGTACTGAATCACAGCAGACTTTGAGCTGGTGCGACAGTTTGGCCGAGTGGCCAGGGGATGATCCCTGTTGTTTTGACGAGAAAATAGACCCGAGTGGTTGGGGAGAAAGCATGATTTTTGGCGGGCGGGAGGACTGGCTTTGCTGTTTGAAAAGAGAATAGCTTGAGTCTGACCATCCCACCGACGCCAAAGGGCCCTTGCAGCTCCGCGTGGGCATGTTGAAGGCGCACTGTTCCGCTCCCGGAGTCCTTCTGGGAGGTGCTGAAGAAGGACTGTCGGTTCGCCAGAGTGCAGTTGGGGATCTTAGGGAGCTGGCTGGAGGTGGCAGAGGGGGCCTGGATGGATTTCGCGTGGCGTTCGCTGAGCAATAGGACTTGACCAGCTGGGGTCGCTGAGCTAAAATGCATCGTGCCGGGCTGACGAGAGGTGGCGAGCCTGGGTATTTTTAGCAGTATACCGCGTTCATCATTTCTCTCCCTAGCCGACTTTTGTCGCGTGTGTTTTCTGAGATGTTTAAGCACTGACCAAGATTAGACTTTGCGGAAAGCAACTCGTTGCTTTTCTGGGTCCCTCTCTTGCGTGCTGGGGCGCGCTTGGAAAGGGGATGGGATGCTGAGTGCCGGGGTGTTCCCGGGCGCGCTAAGGCTCATCTCCTGGCTCCTGCTACCAGAGGAAAGGGGGCGCTCCTGGGTGTGCGTGCTGGCGGTGTCACCCACCTTGAGATACAATAAAAAGCAATCCCGGCCATGGGGTTGTCCACAAATGGACGTGTCCACAAACGACCACAGCTCCCGGCAGCACCCAGGCAGGGATAGGCTGTCTGCAGACAGTGAGGTCGCCGTGGAGGCTGGGAGTCTCCCACAAGCGAGAAGCAATGGCATGCGGGAGCCAGGTCAGCCAGCGTCCCGAGACTCCCTTGGGGAGCCCCACTTCGCCGCCGCGTGCGCTCGGGACCTGGATCTTGCTTGGGGTATTCCCGAACCCACTATACAGAGGCGCGAGGGAGGACCACTGGACCAGGCGAAGGATGGGAGAGTCTGTCTCAGCTTTCCCCCTCCTCCCCGCCCCCAGACTCGCGGCGCGTTGGCTTCCAAGTTGGATCCCACTTCCATTTACAAGTGTCAGACAAACCGCGCCAAGCAACCGCTCTCTCCGACTCAGCCAGATGGGGGAGGGAGCAGGGCGGGAGCCATGAGCCCACCAGGGTAGGCTCCTGTAGGGCAGTCCAGAGCGGTTTCCTAGCTTTTAGACCTTGATCTTTAAAAGGTACATAGAAGAAACCTGCAAAGCCCACAGCACTCGTGGACACTCGCGTCCTAGCCTTTTATCCTCCTTTCCACCGACACATTAATTTTCTGGCCCGACGCTTGTCTTTTGAAAGGCGAGTTTAGGCGGTGGGAGGGGGGGCGGGGAGCTGGCCGCCAGTCCACCTCGGTGGCTTTGAGCTCCCGGCTTTGTTGCCAGGATTTGATTGCGCCCGGGCCGAGTTAAAATAAATGTAGAAAGACAAAAACAGGCCAGACGTACTGCAGGAGAAGCAGCCTTGATTCGGGCTATGGAAAGGGCGAACAGCCATCTAGGAATTGAGGACCCAGAGGCCAGCGTTTCAGCTTGGATGGAGAGAGCACAGGTTCCCTTGCTGCTTGTTGCAGGCTCCCAACTCTGGGTTACCAATGCTTGAGCTGGGACTGGGGTAGCCTTGGGGGAGGGGCTCAGTATGAGGTACAGATTGAATCTCAATAGGAAAGAAAGGGAGGAGAGAGAGAGAGAGAGAGGAGGGAGAAGAGATTGAGAAATAAAAATGATATGCGCTCCTAAAACATTCTGGTCATTGACTGCTTCTACTCTCCACCCCAAGACCCTGACATTTTTCGATCTTATTCCAAAATTGGACAGTTGCACAAGGATAATTTTTTAAAATGCAAGGAAAACAGGACGCCAAAAGACAAAGAGTTCTTAAATGCACAGTTACTTCTGCTTCTTCATATGATTTTTATGCAGTAGGGTTGGTGTGGGGCTCAAATGTTTTCTTTCTTAATATTGTATCAGAAGAATGTCATCTTCCAGAATTTAACCAAATCACTTAAACCAATTCGATCAAGAGTCCCCTTTGTTGTCTCTGGAACTTGGACAATGAATGATGTTGGGGCCGGTTTCTATGTACTATGAGCTGGAAGGAGAAAGTTCCCAGAACTGTCCATGCTGTAACGTCTTCATAGCTGAGCCACAGAACTCCGCATGAGGGACAGCTGGCTAGGAGAGCAGAAATTGGTCAGCTGCTGAGCTGGCTCCTTCTCTCATCACTGCAGGATTCTCGCAGCCAGTATTTGTTGACCAGTGACTGGCTTTCCAGTCTTGCCTCCCCGTTTTCAATTTTTATTTATTCTGGTTCCTGGCAGAGACATTTTGGGCATTTTTAAATAGTCAGAACCCAGTCAGTATGTTAAGTAGCAATTAAATTTGTGCTGAGCTACTAAGAAATGAAACTACTAGCAATAAACGGGGGTGGGGTGCCCACTGACCTGTGTGTTATGTGGGTGCTTTGCTAGCTCACAGTTTTTTTGTAAAGCAGGGCTTACTTTGACTGCTCACATAAGAACAGTGGCAGGTTGTGTTATCATTCCTGTATTCTTCCCATGCAGGGGAAGGGCCTGCTCTAATCTAGATAATGAGTTATGGCAAATGGAAAGAAATAAGCAACTGCCATGGAGAAGGGTTATTCAAATCATAACCCACAAGTCAGAGGGTGATATGTTATGTATGGGCTGTGTTAAGGCATGTTTCCTTGCAGACCACCTATCTAGTGGCTTTTTCCTATTACTCTGGGAGTTAGGTCTGGTGTGTCTCTGTACCTTGAATTTGACCAAGTGACTGTTGGACAAGAGGGGAACCATACTAGTGGGGGATGTCCGGTGTTTCCCTCTGAGTTACCCTCTAGTGTTGTTCTGCTTCAAGAACACTGAGTAGGGTTCCTGTCCTGGGCTCAGGCAGATTTGCTCCGTTACACTGATTTCTTTGGTTGTTCAAGTGGTATTGATGAACCCCATCTTTGCTCATTGTGGAGACACTAGAATTGGAAAGCTCACTTAAAGGAAAGAGACTTGTAGACTATAGTTTCAGCACTCAGGTTATGGAGACAGGAGGATCAGGAGTTCATTATTCTAGAGTCCACAGTGAGTACCAGGCTACCAGACCAACCTGAGCCACATAAAAGCAAACCAGGTCTCAAAAAGAGGAGGGCTAAGAAACCTGAGGGGAAGGACTAGTTTCCTGCCCAGTGTCTCCATGCAGAAGTCCACAGATGCCTGTGTGCTTACCAACACAGGAAGGGGAAATGTAGATATCCCTGTTGTGTATTAACAAACACATTTCTGCCATCCTTTCCTCTTTTTCTTTTTCCCTGTCATTCTTCCTTTTCGCTTCTTCCTGTTCTCCCTTACCATTCTGTTTTTCTCACCGTTGATTACATCCCTGCCTGCTTCTTCCTACCCAATTGTGAGAGCTAGGGACTTGAAGTCCCACAGTATGACAGCTTCCTTGGGAAGACTGGGGATAAAAAGATTTTCTCCCGCTGGGTTCAGTTGACTCCACTGGTATTTGAAACTCAGTGATTTCTTTGAATATCTTTTCATCTAATAAGCTTTCTCCCCCACATACTCCTTTCTTCATTCTCCACAAAGACTATTTTAGACAAGCTGGCCTTTAAAACAATCAACTTAATGCCACAGATCAAATTTATTGAGAAGACATTGAGGTGTTGTCTGGTCACTTGAACTCTTCTGGTTTAGCTCCCGACTCTCAGTTACATGTAAAATAGCAAATTTCCAATTCTAGAGATTGTGCATTGAAGAGGAATTCTCAAGTTAGATTCAGTTTTAGCCTCTTTCACCTTAGAACTTCTCCCCAACTCCCAACTCAGTTCAAGGAGCAGAAGTTTGAGAGTGGGTTTCCTGGTGTGATCACAGGAAATGGAAGAAATGGAAAATGCCCCCCAGAACACAATAATCAATCTTAAGTTCTGTCTTCAAAGTTCATTCTTCCTGTCAGTGTGATTAGATTTTTTTATTCTCAAACACAATACATCCTGACTACATCCCCCCCTCCACTCCTTTCATCTCTCATACAATACATCCCAACTATAGTTTCCTCTCCCTCCATCCCCCTCCCATACACCTCCTGTCTTCCCCAGATCCACTGCTCCTCTGTTTCCATTCAGAAAAGACCAGGCTTCCCAGGATATCAATGAAACATGGAATAGACTAGGCACAAATCCTAGAATAGTAGGAGAAAAAGGGTCCTAAGAGCAGGTAAAAGAGTCAGAGACACCCCCACTCTCACTGCTAGGGGTCCCATAAAACACCAAACTAACAACCATAGCATTTGCAGAGGACCTAGCACAGACCAATTCAGGCTCCA